ATACGGGACAAAAGCCGTCCCGTATCGATTCAATACGGGACGCACATAGTGTTTCTATAATACGGGACAATTCCGTATTTCAAGGGACGGTTGGCAACCCTATATGGTGAAGCAGTGGTTTGCGCTTGTGTTTCAGAGCAAGAAGGTTGGATTCCCTGGGTTTCAATTCCACCTCCAGTTCTTTTCAATGTGTAGCTTGCATGCTCTCCCTTTGTCTGCGTAGGTTTCCTCCAGGTGCTCCGGTTACCTGCAGATTCTCCTGTTACCTCGAGACGCTAACAAAATGTTAAATCGGTCTGGATGAGTGAATGGAGAGAATGGAAAAGTCTCTGTACTCCAAAACACAATTTGCGTGACCTTTGTTTGTGTGAAATGCATTATATAAATAAATATTACCATCGTACTAACAACGTATTTGCTTTTTCCAACACCTTTTCAAACTGTATCCTCGCCTAAAACAAAGGAAGGTTTCTCACCCGTCGTCTGTACTTTAGTTAGCAGGTTTTCCCAACGTTTTGTAGGAAGCGGTTAAAGATTTATTTTGCGTCATCCTAAAAACAATGCCCCAACAGTAGATAAGGTCAGTGACATGCGAATGAGTTAGGATCGTTAGACCTGCCAGGATCGTTAGACATATCATAATCGCTAGACCTACCAAGAGCGTCGGACATACAGGAGTTTGTAGGCATACCGGGATCGTTAGACATATCAGAATTGTTTAAGCCTGTCCGGATCATTAGACCTTCCAGGATCGTTAGACCTGCTACCAACCACATCTTTGCTGACCTTAGATGTGTTAATGAGTTATGATAATGAGGGGGGGGGGTCTAACCACTCCCACAGGTTAAAAAATCTCCAACTTGCGGCTGAGCTTCCATTCCCTTGAGAAAGTTATTTAGATTTGGAGTTTACACATGTATCTTTGCTTGTTTGGTTGATGTTATGTTTGAAATACATACTTACTACAACTACACACTCAGTGAAAACCCAGTGTGCGAGCTTCAATTTCCTCCAAACATAATAGCAGCAGAACGGGATAAAAAGCGTTTAGAAAGTTGGTGTTTTGTCACCTCACTTCAACTCCGCTTATTCAAAAGAAAAGCCGCAGATAAATCTTAGGAATGTGTGGATCAGGAAATGACAGTGGGCTGGAGATGGAGGAGATGGAGGCGACGCACCCACAGCATCTGCCTCTGTCTGGGCCTGTTTGTCTCCATTTTGTTATTGCATTTGAGCGCCGGGGATTTACACAAAACCACTCCGTAAATAAAATGTTGTGCGCGTAGAAAACATTTGCTTCTACGGCAGAAGTCTGTTCACTTCACGGCAATGACCACGATTTCAAATGCGTCATATATGGCTTGTATGAAAGGGTTTTGGTCGTTATTCAAATTTAAAATGTGTATAGGCCTAAATCACAACAGTAGTTATCTCAGAGGGCTTAACAAAACGGTCAAAATGGTCAAAATCTGTCATGAAGGGGAATAATGAGGATCCAAAAAGGCAGGAATGCAGAAATAATTATTTACTGGATATAATAAGTCATGGATCTACAGTCTCAGTCCTGGGTCTACAGTCTCAGTCCTGGATCTACAGTCTCAGTCCTGGGTCTACAGCCTCAGTCCTGGATCTACAGCCTCAGTCCTGGATCTACAGCCTCAGTCCTGGATCTACAGCCTCAGTCCTGGACCATCAGAGTCGTCTGTTTCTGAGCTCAGCAGTAAAATAATGGTCAGTTTCCGCAGGACCTTAGGACCGAGGACGATGTCAGCGCTGACCTCAGGAGGAGAGGCTGTAACCGTGGCAACGCAGATCATTCAGAGGTCAAGGGTCAGTGCATCCAGTTCATACACTTTATTGTACCATCACAGTTCTCTTTTATCACTAACAACACAATAATGAGCGTTATCAATCATTAGTGAGTGAGAGTGGTTTTGTATTTACTGTTTTAAGTGTGTGTGTGTGTGTGTGTGTGCGTGTGTGTGTGTGTGTGTGTGTGTATGTGTGTGCGTGCGTGCGCAAGCGTACTCAACTTTCCAGCCAGACTAATGTATGTATTAATATTCATCTAAATCAGGCATAGCAAAACCGAGGCCTAAAAGGAACATATACTGAGTAACGGTGCCTCTAAAACTAAAAGCCGGCAATTTGACTGCTCTGAGCGTTAAATAAATCTCTAAATTGAGCCGTCTTTGTCGTGTTTCAGTGAAATGAATCGCCTAAGTTTAGTCACGGAAGCGTCAAACCAGCACAAAAACACATGGACCTACTCACAGTTCACACATTATATTGATTTCACAAAGCCTCAGAGGTTTGAGTGAGAACCAATGAGGACCAGTGAGGACCAATGAGGACCAATGAGGACCTGTGAGGACCAGCGATTACGAGCAACTTTAGTACACGTGACATGCTTCAGCAAAGTGCGGATGGCTTCTCCTCTCTTCTCGAGCCAAACTCCTCCAGGTGACGAGCCCTTGGACTTCAGAGAGAGAGGAGAGGGGAGAGAGAGAGAGGAGAGGGGAGAGAGAGGGGAAAGAGAGAGAGGAGAGGGAGAGCAGACAGGGGGGGAGAGAGAGAGCAGAGAGAGGGGAGAGAGAGGGGAGAGAGAGGAGAGAAAGAGGAGAGAGCAGAGAAAGAGAGGAGAGAGAGAACAGAGAGAGCAGAGAGAGAGAGAGAACAGAGAGAGGGGAGAGAGAGAGAGAGAGAGAACAGAGAGAGGGGAGAGAGAGAGAGAACAGAGACAGAGAGAGAAAACAGAGAGAGAGGAGAGGGAACAGAGGGAGAGCAGGACTGGCAGGAGACATGATGTTTTGAGACCAGGCTCCTGCTGGTCTGAGTGAGTACCTGTTGTTGAGAGCCCATGAAACGGATCAGTTGTGGTTTTGACCTGAAAAAGAGGAGTTTACTTCACTATATTCTGTAGATCAACCTTTTCCCTGGGAGAGCTATCGGGACACAAGTGGCAGAGAGAGAGCTACAGGCGAGCTACAAGTTGTGTTTGAAAATACTTCTTAAAACAATGGAACAACCAGCTTTAGCCTGATTTCCAGCACAGATGTAGCAGGTGTATTTCTTGTTTCATTGGCAAATCTGTTTTCCGCAAAACTTCCAATTGTGAAAGTTTTTGTATTTTCTTGTTTCTTGTTAGCCTAGCTCAGAGGTCGGGAACCTTTTTAGCTGAGAGAGGCAAAATGTCTCTTACTAAAAGATGCATTTCTGTGGCAGCTATGCTTTTTTATTTACTGTGAATATGTGTGATTTAGATGGTGATTTGGGGCGACAGTAGCTCAGTTGGTAGAGCACTGGCCTTCAGGCCTGAAGGTCGTGGGTTCAATTCCCACCTCCACACCTTCTCCACCGACTCCCGCTGATGACTGCTGTCGTTGTGTCCTTGGGCAAGACACTTAACCCCACTTTGCCCAAAGCCCCCACTGAAAGATCAAGGCTATGCTCACAGTCAGAGAGCAGCCGTCCTCCTGTGGACTCACCACCTGCAGAGGGTCAGTGAGGGGCTGGTGCTATGAGACTTGGGTGGCATCTCTGACTGCCACCCCCCTGACCCAGAAATGGATTAAAGGGAAGAAAATGGATGGATGGATATGTGTGATTTAAAAGCAAGATCAACACATTTAAAGTGAGATATTATTCATGTAATTTATACTGAAGAAATCCAGTATGAATGCCTACTAAGATGTGCCTGAGCACCAGACACAATCATCAAAACAGCCACATCTTTCTCCCGAGCCAGAGGTTCCTGACCCCTGGCCTAGCTGATCTTGCAATTATTTACATGTTTGCATTGGCAGAGCTGGAGTTGGCTGGATGACCCTGTGGACTAGTGTTATGTCCTCTGCCTCACATGACAGACTCCAGGCCTGCAGTAGCGCAGTGTGCAGAACTGTAGCTGCCATGTGGCTCCGGACACAGATGCTAATGTTCCGTGGAGCGTAGCCGCCGTTAGCACAAATCTGTTCCAAACTCCTACATCTGCTCGCTCTGGTCGTGGAGCGCAATTTTGGCCCGTTCCTCGCTCATCTGTTTGTGTTTGCTTGTCCCAGTGCCACCTGACGTTAGCTGCACAGGAGCAGAGCCAGCCGTCCGTTTCTTCGCGGTGATCCCGTCTCTTCCCCTTCGCAGACTCCATGACCCACTTTGACCGTTTCAAACTCAGAAATCTGCAATTTTTGAGCGTTTGAGTCTGGCTTTTTCGGTGCAATACTTTCGTCATTCTGTTGATGGGTTTATTGGAAAACAGCGGAAGACAGTGATTGTTGAAATCCAAAGAAAGTTTTGTTTTACACATCTGAAAAATAAAGGTTTTTCTAGTTATTGTCGGCCTTGAAGGAGAAACGATTTCCCAAGGAGACGTAAATATTGCATTTGGATGGAAAATCAAACCCTGACAGATCCGATGTGGACTGGAACAACTCGATTTGACTCAAACTAAACATTAACCCTTTAGGCGCCAGAGGTTTTTTCTTAAGAAGCTCAATCTTATTTTCTTGAAAACTTAAAAGTGATAAGAGATAGAGGCTTCATGTAAACTAGAGAAATGAAAAGGATGGCCCAAAGTTTATACAGGAATTCAATGTACCCAACTAATTTGCATATTATGACTTCATACGGTGGTGGCAATCTGGGACTTTCATGACATATATTTTATTTACAGACACACATCACTAGGATATAAACACACAAACAGAACTCACATTGTACCACACTCCAGGGTATAGTAAAAGAGAGTAAATGTGTGGAAGTAGCAGCTACAGGGTTAACGTTAGATCTTTCTCTGTGAAGATATTGTTCTCACTTAATCAGAGTAAATGAGTTTTAAGAAAGAGCAGCATTAGGCTCTAAACCAGATGCAGTGTCAGAGAAACAGGCAGAAGCAAAAAAAATAAAGTTATAACACACTTGTTTTCTTGTAATTTTGGAGTCAAGTAAATATCTGCCTAAAGTAAGATGGCCCCGCCTCCTCTTCATGTCCCCGCCTCCTCTTCATGTCCCCGCCTCCTACCCATGGCTCCGCCTCCTCCCCATGGCCCTGCATCTTCCTAATGGCCCGACCTCCTCCTCATGGGGCCGCCTCTTCTTCATGGGGCCGCCTCTTTCTCATGGCCCCGCCTCCTCCTCATAACCCCGCCTCCTCCACATGGCCCCGCCTTCTCCCCTCGGCCACGCCTTCCTCCTCAAGGCCCCGCCTCCTCCTCATGGATAAATCAGACTAATGAAACAGCGAGGGGACATTGTTTGATGTGTGTGTGAATGTGTTTGTTTCTATGTGTGTGTGTGTGTGTGTGTGTGTGTGTGTGTGTCCATGTGTGTGTGTGCATGTGTCTGTGTGTGTGTGTGTGTGTCCATGTGTGTGTGTTCATGTGTCTATGCATGTGTGTGTGTGTGTGTGTGTGTGTGTGTGTGTCCATGTGTGTGTGTGCATGTGTCTGTGTGTGTGTGTGTGTTTTTGTGTGTGTGTGTGTGTGAGCAGATGCAGACAATCGGAGCGCGTCGGTTCCAGTGCGTTCAAAGCCTCGTTCACTTTGATCTGGTTTTGTTTGGGGACATTTCCTTCGGTCAATTTCAGAAACGTTTTTTCTGCTTTTGTATCAATATGTAGTGGGTACTTCTGATGGAGTTTCATATTGAGTTTTAAGAGAGTTGAGGAAAATGCATCCAAGCCTTTTTTTAACTGAGAAGATTCATAACATTAGATGATGGTTCTTAAAATGTGTGACTGCAAGAAATAAGAATAAGAACTGAAAGGTACAGAACTATTTGTGTTTTGAATGGATTGAATAAAAAATAAAAATGCATTGGTTTTATGCAGCGCTTTTTTGGACACTCAAAGACACTTCACATGTCATTATTCATTCACTCCATACACTGTGGTGATAAACTACTACAGTAGCCACAGCTGCCCTGGGGCACACTGACAGAAGCAAGACAACCAGTCTGTGACACACACACACACATACACACACCCACCAGACTCATACTAGGCAATGGGGGTGACATATCTTGCCTAAGGACACAACAACAGCAGACATCAGTGGGAGTCGGTGGAGAAAGTCTGGCTTCTAGCTCAAAGGCCAATGCTCTACCAACTGAGCTGCTGTCGCCTCGGCATCAGTTTGTAAAAAAGAATGGGAACAAATTATAGTATTGTTCAGATCTGTCCGGTTGAGTTTTTGTAAAAGAACTGTGAAAGAACTTTTTGTGGTGATCTGTCCGGCAAATTTATTTTTCCTTCACACAGAATTATTTAACGTTACTGAACTTCTCACAACAAAATAAAATTGTGCAGAAAAACACGACTGATGCTTCCGTCAGTCAAAAAACATAAACAGAACAAGACTGGTCTGTGTTAACCTTAAAAATTGAGTTCGCCTGGTCTTACCGTACCATGGTACTCATTTATTTTCATACAAAGGTCTGGATTTGCTCCATTGACTCCGTTAACAGGTGGGAGGGGTTAACTCCTTTTGCAGATTGAAACCATTGGATTTGAGTTTACTGTGACGTATGTAATGTCGAGTGAGTCACTAGCGTTAGCATATATCCTAGCTTTAGCATTTAGCCTAGCTTTAACATTTAGCCTAGCTTTTACATATATCCTAGCTTCAGCATGTAGCCTAGCTTTAGCCATCTCCTTTGCCACTAACGGAGCCCGTGGGGAGTAGAGCCACAACATCTTTGCTTCAATGACATTTACTAAACATTCCTCTTGCTCCGGCTTCAGTTTCTTGATATTTGGATTGAACCAGAACAGATTATTTTACCATCACATTCTCCGACAAACTACAACCAGCAAATTCAGCACAAACTCTTGATGTCACCGACACCGACCTACAAGACCCGCCTCCCCCGCTCTCTGATTGGTCGGAGGGGATTCAACCGAGGAAACTGCAGCCACTAGGATCAGACCCAGGCATACAGTGCCTTGCGAAAGTATTCGCTCCCCCTTGAACCTTTCAACATTTTGCCATATTTCAGGCCTCAAACATAAAGATATAAAATTATATTTTTTGTCATGAATCAACAAGTGGGACACAATCGTGAAGTAGAACAAAATTTATTGGATCATTTAAACTTTTTTAACAAATAAAAAACTGAAAAGTGGGGCGTGCAATATTATTCACTATTATTCAATATTATTATTCAGCAAACTCCAGAAGTTCAGTGAGGATCTTTGAATGATCCAATGTTGTCCTAAATGACTGATGATGATAAATAGAATGCACGTGTGTGTAATCAAGTCTCCGTATAAATGCACCTGCTCTTTGATACTTTCATCTCAAACAAGGAGAAGACTGATCAGAGATGCAGCCAAGAGGCCCATGATCACTCTGGATGAACTGCAGATAACTACAGCTGAGGTAGGAGAGTCTGTCCATAGGACAACAATCAGTCGTGCACTGCACAAATCTGGCCTTTATGGAAGAGTGTCAAGAAGAAAGCCATTTCTCAAAGATATTCATAAAAAGTCTGGTTTAAAGTTTGCCACAAGCCACCTGGGAGACACACCAAACATGTGGAAGAAGGTGCTCTGGTCAGATGAAACCAAAATCGAACTTTTTGGCCACAATGCAAAACGATATGTTTGCCGTAAAAGCAACACAGCTCATCACCCTGAACACACCATCCCCACTGTCAAACATGGTGGTGGCAGCATCATGCTTTGGGCCTGCTTTTCTTCAGCAGGGACAGGGAAGATGGCTAAAATTGATGGGAAGATGGATGGAGCCAAATACAGGACCATTCTGGAAGAAAACCTGTTGGAGTCTGCAAAAGACCTGAGACTGGGACGGAGATTTATCTTCCAACAGGACAATGATCCAAAACATAAAGCCAAATCTACAATGGAATGGTTCACAAATAGACGTATCCAGGTGTTAGAATGGCCAAGTCAAAGTCCAGACCTGAATCCAATCCAGAATCTGTGGAAAGAGCTGAAGACTGCTGTTCACAAACGCTCTCCATCCAACCTCACTGAGCTCGAGCTGTTTTGCAAGGAAGAATGGGCTAGAATTCCAGTCTCTCGATGTGCAAAACTGATAGAGACATACCCCAAGCGACTTGCAGCTGTAATTGCAGCAAAAGGTGGCGCTACAAAGTATTAGCGCAAGGGGGCCAAATAATATTGCACGCCCCACTTTTCAGTTTTTTATTTGTTAAAAAAGTTGAAATTATCCAATAAATTTCACTTGTTGTTGATTCTTGACAAAAAATGTAATTTTTATATCTTCATGTTTGAAGCCTGAAAGGTTGAAAGGTTCAAGGGGGCGGAATACTTTCGCAAGGCACTGTACATGTAGGAAATGATCATGGACCAGAGTTTACAGCCAGGCTACAGTGGAGTAGGACCAAACTGAGACCAACCTCCAAATGCTGGTCACAGTTCGATTCCCAAACAAACTGGTCTTAGGGTGACGGGCTCAGTTAGTAGAGATTGACCTTTCCTTGGTCAAGACTATTTTACAAGTTTGTGGCCATACTTGCATACTAAAGCCAGATCCTGTCAGACCTCTGAGGCTGTGCAAGGCAGGGCCAGGAAAGTGCTGTGATGGGAGACCTCTGGGATCAGATGCCACAGTGGGGTGGCTGCGGCTTTAAAGTGGCAAACTGTTGTTGTGTCCTTTGGCAATACACTTGTCCAAGGACATAATGGTTGGTGGTGGTCGGAGGGACCGATATCTGATGACTTCTGTCAGTGTGCCCCAGGGCAGCTGTGGCTACAGTGTTATCACTACCGTGTATGGAGTGGCATGTGAGTCATGTTGTTTTGTATTATTATTATTATTATTATTATTATTATTATTATTATTATTATCATATAACACACACAGAGTCATTGGTCCATAAGTGGCAGAGACCAAAATCCATAAATGTTTTTCTCTCTGCTCATGTCTTTTGAGAATGTATATCACCTTGCTCCCATCTCTGTGTGGAGTGACAAAAAACCAACTCTGGTTTGTGAAAGGCGCTATATAAATAAAGAATATACTGTACATGAAAAGAATACATATCATTACCGGTGTTTGAACAAAGTACCGGTGATTAAACTAAAGAGTTTCCATATTCTAAGTGACTGATTGTGTATTGTTGTTGTTGTTGTTGGAAGTACAGATTGTTGTGACTGCTCCATTCACAGAAAACACTTTATCTATGGACTTACACTGCCCCCTGGTGGTCACTGCAGCTCCCATTTCCTCACTCTGTTTTTGCAACATGCCAAATCTGAACAATACAAGTAGAGCAAGAGTAATGTTTTTAATGTGTGAAATGTGCAACTGTACGATATGTTTTTGTCCGCTGCACAGATCCAGGGCTGAGTTTGAAAAATAGACCAAAAATGACTCCAAAAACTTAACTTAAAACCAAAATAAACAAATGAAAGCCATGGTTCAGTGTTTCAGAAGTTGATTAAGTGGATTTTACTTTGAAGTTGTAGTTAACATGTCAACTACAACTTCAAAGTAAAATCAACTTGATATATCAAATAAGATGAAGTTTTCATCAGAAACTTCTGAAAGTGAGTTCAAGTGGCTCACAACAGACAGTTCCAGTTACAACTGGCAATTTTATTGTCAGTGAATGCAAAAGTCTAAGTATGGTGAACAATTTTGAGTTGTCGTTTTTACAGTGTACCAACAGAGCCACTGTTGCCCCAAAGCTTTCACATGTCACTATTCGTTCACTGGCAATGAACTACTACTGTAGCCACAGCTGCCCTGAGGCACCCGTCTGTGCCATCAGCCCCTCCCATAACCACCATCCCTCACACACATACACACCAGACTCATTCTAATGTGGGTGAAGTGTCTTCTTAAGGACACAACCACAGTTTGTCAATTTACAGCCGCCCCACTGTGGCACCTGATCCTAAAGGTCTCCCATCACAGTACTATACAGGCCTTGCCCTGCTTAGCTTCAAAGGTCGGACAGGATCTGGCTTTCAGACGCAGGATTGTTGACTTGCATAATAAAAGCAGTGACATAAAGTCTTTCATTTAACTTCATGTAACTGCTTCAGGTTTAGTTTCCGTCTTATTTAGTTTAAACTCTCGCTTCATTTAAGAAAAAGGAGTTTGTGACCGAATGAAACAAAGTCACAAAGTCACAAAACACATGGTCCGAGTGTTTATAAGGCAGTGTCAATGTCAACTGTTCACGGCCCGTTGGCTCCACCTGGTGGTCAGAAGAGGAAACAGACAAACAAATGAACTAAAAC